TATTGTGAAAAATTATTTAAAAAATTTAGAGGGCAAAGAAGCATTAAAAATCGGCCACCTTGACCACTTATGCCATTTTGTTTCACTATCCTTGGCCATTTTTAAGGCACTTTCGTGATTTGAAATTCCTCCTCTTAGAATTTCGAATTTTTTTCACTGAACTGATCCAGGTAATTTGACAGACGTTACGAGTTTTTGTTCCAACCGGATATAATTGCATTAAATTTTTGTTGAAATAAAGAATTCATTTTTCGCTATCCCTCAAATTATTTCGATAAATACTTCATTTTAATCCCTGCAACTTTTGCAGAGAACATCATGGCAAATTACATTTCCAGCCTCTGAACAGAAGTTTCTTTTATTCGGTTATTTCCCTTGAATTATATCACTGCGAAATTCACATTCTAATTAACAGTCGAATAAAACAAGCCGTTCTGCATAAGAATAATGACCCCCTTAAATTATTTCCTGCCGCCTGCTTTCGACACGTATAAATACAGGTGAGATAGGGGCGGAACTGTGTTCGCGCAAAAGGCACGTGTCGTTTTTAAAAAAAGAAATGAGAACTGCGATCGCCCGCAGCCAGACTTCTTCTACGACAAGGACAACGAGTGATACTCCGCATGAAGCACGTAAGAAAGAAGAATGCAGTGTTTAATTTCGCCCCTTAACCGTGTCACTCAGCCGAAAAATGTGCCGAGTTCGAGCTTTCCTCGTTGTTAGATTCCTTTTGCTCGCGTGGCCGTGCTATTTTCAGTTGTTCCCTCAATCTCGTGCAAGCAACGGAAGAGCAGCTTTTAAATTCTGTCAATCCTATCGTGTTCGAAAGTTTCCCCTTTTTCGTAAAATCAAATTGCTTCGATATTTTATGTATATTCATATTTTTGTTCGTATTATTTTATGTGTTTGATGTATTTTTCATATTTCAAGGATTCGGTGTATTTACGAAAAAAAAGATAAAGAGGATAACGAAGTTAATAATGACTTTTAAACCTCTTCGATACTGTATTATCTATATTTTTTTCGCAGTCAGTTTCTAATAAACGAGTGTATGCACGCGAAACTCAGTTCTCGTTCGTTACCGAAGTGGCTCTCGTTTTCAACGCAGCTTTGTCACATTAATTTGTGATAGAAATGACACAGTTGTGATACCACGGGTCGTGCTCGCGGCATCGCCCCAAGCCTTACAAACTTCGTCATTTACCGATACAACTTTAAAATAGAACAGCCACGATTTCACGTTCAATTTTGCATAAAGTTTCCAGGCGAAAACAAAAGTTACCATTGTGCTTCTCGCAATGAAAATTTCAGATGGAAAAATGTTCTTGCTATTCTACTTATTATTGTACGGTTCCTACATATTGTATTGATAATACCTTTAGAGGAATTATTTCAGGAAAAATTTTCCAAGTTGATCTTTACTGGATAAATTCGCGAATTTTTATCAAAATTTTTCGATAAAGTTCCATTCTGTAGATTTTTAGTCATGGAATAGTAATACTGGACTCATGTTTACCAGTTTGGCGTTCTGTATTCCACTTCATTTTTACTATTTTGGAGGTTTCTGAAAGAGACAGAACTGTTCAAAGAACTGTAAGAGTGCAAATGGTTATTAGCTGCTCTTCGATCCAACCTAACCGTGAATTTTAGCCCTTAATGCATAAATTCTCGCGTTTATCCTTTTCAAAATTGAAATTTCACATAAAGATGCGCTGCTTTCCAAAATAAGGGAATTGAATTTCTTTTTTGTAACTTAAACAAATTTTCGTATTTATCCTTTCAAAAATTGAAATGTCATACAGAGAGATGCTACTCTCCAAAATAAGAGAATTAAATATCTTTTCCGTAACGTAAACAAATTCTCGCATTTATCCCTTCCAAAATTGAAATTTCACACAAAGATATACCTATTATACTCAAAAATAAGAGAATTGAATTTCTTTTCAGTAACGTAAACAAATTCCCGTGTTTATCGTTTCCAAAATCGAAATTTCACGTAGAAACACGTAGAAATACCGGAATTAAATTTCTTTTTTGTAACGTAAATGAAATAATCACTGGAAAATATTTCTACAAAGAACGGTGTTTTCGGAAATTGACGTTGCGAAATTTTCGCCGAAGCACAAAGGCGGTTTACGTCAAACGCTGATCGAACTGGTTGTAATTAATGTAATGTCACGACGATACGTAACGTATGTATAAAAGGAGGGGGGGGAGATGGGGAAAATCTGTATAACGTTGGTGAAATTCACGTTTCTTCGTGAAACACGTACCGTTGATATTTTACAATATTTCGAAAGCGACGAGCGCTGGATCTTGGTCGTTAATTGTGTCGTTAGCCGTAATAATTTATAACAACGGGCAAACGTGAAACGTATCATTAGTGCGGATGACGAGGCTCGGCTGAAAAGCGTTTGTTCCCACCTAAAATAATGTTGTCCATGGAAATGAGTGCACGAACACAACGATGCGATATTTTATGCGGCAAACCGGTCCCGCGTACAAGTGTGCAATTTGCAACTTTTAATAGCAACGCGGCTCCGATTGTTTTTATTTGGTCGCATTCATTGTCGCCGGTAGACCTTCGACCTGCCTGAATCGTTGCTCGCTCTCCCCCGCCCTTTTCTTTTAATTTCAACTCATTGCGACGTTCCTTTGTACTTCCTTCGGGATTGTAACGCGCTTCAAAATTTCACCGTGAAAAGGAACGGATTCTTGTAACCAGCCGTGTGAGAATTCAGTCGTGTCGCATTCCTTTTTTTTTTTTACTTTCGCTATCGAAATACCGCTGTACGCTTTTGTTGGTGTCAAATATGTGCGAATTATTAGGAGGTAAATCCCACGTGAGCTGTTGAGAGGTACAGGAGTGACTTTAATCATGTTTAACTGAATTTACTCGCTGGTTAATTTATAATAATGCAATGTTACATACAACGGTCGATTTTTCACACCACGTTCTTTCTCGTTTGTTTGGAAAATTAAGTAAAATTCTGTTCAGTCTTTTGTAAATAAACAGTGAATTTTGAGAAAGAACGCACTGAATTAATTTACACGTCTAATTTGTGCGAAGAGAAGATAAGTAATTAAGTTAAATATTGCAGTCCTGATTTGCAGAATGATGAGCCATTTTAGAAATGTTTCCAATGTACTACCTTTTCTTTTCTTCCCTTTTTCTGTGAACATTCAGTGTTTTAATAGTGATAAGACTTTTCGAAGATGATTTTCCATTGATTAAGAAAAAGTACTTAGTAATTGGAAAATTGTAGTTATTTCATACAAAATAGAAATCTCGAGAAAATGTAACATAGTAAAGTAATGGAAATAAAGATTTCAAGAATAAGAGGACACGAAATCTAAATCTTCCTTAATCAACCTGGATCTCAAAATTAGTAGCACTTCGAGCATGATTACTCTACTATTCTCAAAATTATTTAAAACACTACTTCTCGATACGACACAAATTCGAGCGGTACATTTTCCAGATTTAGAATCTCCTATTCCGAATAGAACTGACGATATCCTTAATTCCCCCCGAAAAATATTTAACTCGATCTTCCTCAAATATATTTCCATCGTATTCGCACCATCCTCGGACATCGTGTTTAATTGAAAAAAATCCGAATTTCCATTTAATCCTCGACACTTTTGCACAGCGAATTACGGTCGCCTGTTCAAACACACATACATACATATTTATCACGGTTTAGGCTCGCTCTTCTGGCGATAGCGTCGAGTGGGATCTCGGTTTCCGACTAAAATTTCAAAGTAATTGGCATCCCCTTTCATGTAGGTAAACTCAACCGCACTTTAATAGTATGACATGTTGCGTGTGTCAAGATAACCGGTTCAGTGGTTTAGCCGCTACCACTTCGGATTAGTACTGCGGCTTTCTCGTTTGTCGAATTACTGGGATTACCCAGATTACACAGATCGTACAAGTACGATACGTCTAATACGAGTTATTCCACGCATATCTTATTACCAGGAATCGTCGGCGTTTAATCGATTAATTAAATTATACGCCACCTCTGGCTCGGCCACCGTGAAAACAGATCCTAGGAAGCTAACCCGAATAAGCCTTCCGTGCCACTATCAGCTCTCCTTTCACGGAAATCTACGTTTGGCAACATTTTCACCTTTTAAGAATTCCAGAAAAATGCCGAAAGTTACGTCTGTACCCTCTGAACAAATTGAAGCTTTTTGAAGAATATTTTTCAAATTTTTTTCCTTTTTTTAGACACTTCGGTGTAGCGTACTCGGCAACATTTAGTTTAAATTCGGAAACTTCGTGAAGTGTTTCAGTTCGTTTGGAGTGTAAATTGAGTAATTACATATCGGAGAATTTTTACGCGAGTGTTTAATAACTCAAGAGTCACAGGGTTTTCACAATTCGCTTTTCGTAGGTTTGAGAAGATGTTCTTGGTAATGGTTCATATTTTTGCTAGTGTATGCGGTTTAAGAGGATTTCACCTGTCCTTTCGCTATTCTGTCCAGGAAGCACAGAGCTCGTTTCTTTTCCCTTTCCTTTTTTCAAGTTGAATTGTTCAACCGAGATGAACTTCGAAGTTGAACTTTTCTTCGTGCATGTTTCATAGAGGAACTTGAGGAAGAATTCCAACGATTGTATACGGTGCATTCTAACATTTGTACAATTAGTGAGAGAATCGGAAGGTTTGTTTGTCTTGCTTTTATAATTGTACCAAATAAATTGCATTACTGCAATAATTCAACATTTTTCTTCTTTAATTAAATAGGTGTTTTGATCATTTTCTCGCGCTCTGCTCTTTGCACACTTTCACTCTAATTTAATCCTTAATTTTTATCTTGTACGCACTTCTACCTTAACTTAATAACATAAATTTAAAAACGCTGAATTTAAATTTTAATTTTAAAATTTGCTCAAAATTTTCAAATCGCCAGAACGAAAGATTTTGCCGCAGCGAAAGGGTTAATGAAATTTTAAATTAGGCGCTGCAAATATAAATTTTCGTAAAACTTACCAGTGACGTTAAGTATGAAATGCTGAACGATATTGCACTCTCGATTCACAGCTAAGTAAGTAGCCTCGCACTTATAAAGCCCCTCATCCTCCAACTTCACATCCGGTATCTTCAAGTAGGTCTTGGACGAATTCGTCGTGTATTCTATATCCGACCTGAAAAAGAAGAAAAGCAAAACGTTCTTGTAACATTAAGAAACAATTGAAGTGTTCAACTGCAAAATACGTAGCGGAGTGAAAAAGTTAGCTGCATTCGCCTAGAATCATCAGATAGATCACACTTCCTTTCTAAAGTGACATTAATATTAATCGACGTAGCAGGAACACTTCGTCTGTTAATATCAGTCGAGAAAGATATAGCGTTCGTTGCAAGTAGAGTCCAAATTGATTCGTTTTCCACGTGCAAAAAGAGTGTAACCCCGTTGAAATTCATCGTCGATAGAGTGTAGTGTACGGTGACAGTGCAATGTTGCACCAGGCTGTCGCAAAATGACGCGTTTTGTTCAAGAATGGGCGCATAATTATCGAAGACGATCAGCGAAGTGAAAAATCATCAACTTCGATGACGAATGACAATGGACAAAAATTTTTTAACGAGAAACTGGTACCATGCTACGACAAATTTTTAAATAAACTCGGTGATTACACAGAAAAGTAGCTGTTACGTTGTACTTTAAAATCCCCAAATGCTCAATACTCCTTTTTTTTCCTTCAATACGAGTGCAATTAATTTCTTGACTCTGCCTCCTCTCTGTATGTCACATATAAATGGAATTAAAGGGATCGTCGTATAAATCAGACAGAATAACAACATTCTTATTTGTAGATAGATTATATATATGGTTCACTGTCATTCATATGACACATTTGCAGTCCTATTAGCATGCGCTAATGAATAGAACAATGAAACGGATCAACCTGCTCGTTATGCCGTTAAATCGATATCGCTTTACTTACGCCAGTAAGGAAACAATGGGATTAGGATGTATACCATACAATCGCATATTCCATTTGTCTGATACCATTGCGGTTACACATCTATCATTAACGATATAACTGATACAATACGTTTGACAGACCGCTGAAATCGTTCGACTTCGTCACAATTGCGATAAACAATTTTTCCATGGGTACATGTGAATTATGCAAGGACGAGAAAGTCGCGTTACAAATGGCCAATGCAACTGGCAAATTACAACGACACTTTTCATCGCTGTTGGCGCCTTTTGACCAAATTCTCTAATTTCGAAGATTTTGACAACAATTTTGTAAATTTTTAATTTTCAGCTAATTATAATGAAACTTTTCGACACTGCTGGCGCCTTTTGACCAAATTCTTTAATTTCGAAGATTTTGAAAATAATTTTACAAATTTTTAAATTTTGCTTAATTATAATGAAACTTTCCATTGCTGTTGGCGCCCTTTGACCGAATTCTTTAATTTTGCAGATTTTAAAAGCAATTTTACAAATTTTCACTTTTCACTCCGTCAAAAGAGAATATTTTGCGGCTGTTACGCGTTAAAATCTGTCGCAGCGAAAGGGTTGATATGATTTACCAATAGATTTTTATATTCTCCACTTTCACTCTTATTAACTGATCAGTCGGAATTAGTAGAAAATTGTACGCGACTGTGAAGAATTGTTCCAAGTTCAGTTACGATTCAACCAGCGCTGAGAATTCTTCTCGAGTCATTCAACGAGACTCGTGTACCATTTCAATTATCCTAAATAACAGCGAATCGGTAAAAAGTTCATCTTCTTCGATCGAAACTCAAAGCACGATTTCAACGCTATTCCAATGGTATTTGAGTTACCATTGAGATAGTATAGTACATTTACTGTATCACGCGCGTGGAGCAAATTCAACCATAACGCCAGGATGGCACCTCAAGCTTCGCGTAACAATTTCGAAGTTTCGCAATGTCGCGTGAAGATTATTTAATGGAGCAGGAGGAAGGCAAAATCTTGGCTTAGAAGCTGCTCGTGGATCTAACAGAGCACACAATGCGGCGACGAATCTTTTAAAAAACCCAAATAATTACGGTCGAAATAAAAAAGGGAGGACACTTTCTGCCCGCTTTGAACGCAGAATTATTAACGTTGCTGGTAATTCTCTTAAGAGCCTCAATGGGATTAAATCTGAACTGCAACTGAATGTTTCTCCGTTCGACGGTAGAGCGAGTCGTCGTCCGTGTATTAAAAGACAAAAATTAAACAAATTTCTGCTTCGCCGTAAGTGGGTTAGAGATCAGAGTAACGGACTGAAAATATTTTCATTTCTCGGTCGCATTGACCAGTCGAACCTTGACGTAGCACGAAGCAACAGACGAGTTTAACCTTTGGCAAAATTGACCGTCGTAAGCGAACTATAAACAGTTCTGCCGTAAATTCATTTCCATCACTTTTCTCCTTTTTCCTGATTTTTCTAACATTTCTCCAGTTTCTAAACATTTCCATCACTTTTCTCCTTTTTCCTGATTTTTCTAACGTTTCTCCAGTTTCTAAACATTTCCAACTTTCGTATTTCTCCTTCCACAAATTTTCAAACACGCGCATATTTTTTATTCTCCAAACGTAGAAATCTCACAACTTAAATTCAACAGGAAGCTCGCCGTCGCGACTGTTACCCGCCAAATTAATCTTGGGTAACTAGTTCAAAATCTACTTTGCTCGAACGTTAGCAAAACGTAGAGTGCGTCACGAACGATTGACGACTTTGTTTCAAAGACTCGAATTGTACTTGAACGGCTGGAGAGAGTATCTTGTTCACACGAGAGAATCTTTCGAATGTGTTGTGTCTCCTCGAACGGTTGGAGATCTAGTGGTGTTCGCTCGATGGAACCTTTTCTGAATCTCTCGCTCGATTCCCGAATTTTTCTGGAGTCCGCAGTGACTCCCCCGCCAAGTGCAAGAAGGCACGCTGATTGGTTTTTCACGTACGCACAAATTACCAATCAACGTGCCCCTTGAGTGTCACCCACCCTTCCATTGCGCCCTTAGCGCGCTTTTCCTTGGAAGGAGTGGGGCCCTACCTGCGGGTGCGTGGAATCTTCGCTGTCCTTCGGTGACGCGTCGGAAATTCCCGCCAGGTCAACCCCCGGCCTAGAGTGCCGTTATACGCACGTGTGGATTGACCCTTCAGGAACCCTGGTTTATGACACGTCTTCGGTTATCGAGGACGCGGAAAAGTCGAAATTCTAAAGGCATTGTTCCGTAAGAAATTACTTATTTTTTCGCGGAGCCCAGGAACCCTGGTTTATGACACGTCTTCGGTTATGGAGAACGCGGACAAGGCATTGTTCTGTAAAAAATTACTTATTTTTTCGCGGAGCTACGAAGCGTGTTTGTTCTCAAAAATAACCTTCTCGTGCGAGCGTGCCATAAACCCGGTCAACGAAGACCCCATGCGTTCCGTACCTGCGCGACGGAACACTATCACAATCCTAATTCTAACACCTGAATTTCAATACCTACCCCACTATATTCTTGCAAACACACAGATTTGCCACAAAAATTGCAAAGAAGACCAACAATTAACACAAAATCCGTGAATCATAATTCGCGAATAACGTCACATTCTGCCCGTGCAAATCGGTGTAAACAAGGATAACGTGAAATTCTGTGAAAAAGTAATTTTCACACGTGGTCGAATGAATCAGATGGACACAAACAGTGTTACAACACTCTACCACTAATACATCAACAAACGAACGTTGTTTCATCCTCGCCAATGGCTCTTACGATCGCTCTCCGTTCAGCTAGAGGCTCTGTTGTAGCTGCGGCGTGCACTCTGCCAGCGACGCAATATCCGAATAGCAGCGATAATTGTTATTAAGTAGTGCGTTTGTTCATTAATGCGATGCACTTCTGTTGATTGCCAGCGGAATGATACACGCACTAGCTGTACAAATATACTCGACTGCATGTAAAACGGCCCCCGACCACGCTCTCCCTTGTGTAATTTATTTATTGTTGCTCCTATGGTAAGTCGCATCGTCACATTCGTGCTGTTGCATGACGACGAGGCTTGACAGTTGATTGTAGCAATTTGAGATAACGTCTCTTGTTCTGAAGAAACTGGATTGGTTTGTGGCTTTTTTGAGAATGAAAGAATGTTGGTAGAAGACAGTGAGGCGTGAAAAAATGGTTTGGTGCATCTGTTGAGTGCAAATGTGAATGTTCGTGAAATTCAGGAAACAATCGCTTGTGACCGGTTAGTTCGATTTTACTGACGTGTTTGTTATTATTCATACTTAATTCTTTTCACTTTTGATCTTCTCAACTCTTAAATATATGTATATACGTGTTTTCTTCCCATAGAATATTAGAGAATAATGTGGACCACGGTCTTTAAATTTTAGAGGCTTAACCCTTTAACACTCACATTTTTCTCAACTTCAGGTACCAAATAAGATCAATTGTATTTTTTTTTTAAATTATTTCCTAGGCGTATAGGAATAAGTTTCTCATGATTTATAATGCTATAACTTAGATTATAACTTAGAATAGAAAAAATAGAATATGGAACGCTATAACTTAGAATAGAAAGGATAAGGCAATATGGAAAATGAACGAAAGTAATTTTGAAAAATTGCACTTATTGGACGATAAGTTGTGCACGCGTGGGTCCTGAGGAGAGAAATTGAAATTTGTAGCCTAGAATGGCTATTATTATACATTATATATAATACAGAGTGGAACAATTGGCCCTTGAAATATTTCTTTGCGTTGTTTCGTTGAATTTTCAAATGCAAAAGTGAGACAAAGAGAGCAGAAATTTAATATAGTGATATGAAATACTATAACTCCACTAACCACGTACTACAATCAAAAGAATAAAATTTCGCTGAAAATAAAGAACGTTTCGTTGAATAAAACTATTCTCTACTTGCAACACAGTGAAATAATCTTATAAAAGTAATTTCATTGTAAGGAAAAATTACCTCGAGCAGTTCTGCTTAATTCATCGAGGAATTCTACGTAATTGAATAATTTTCTAGGTTTTTCGCCTTAGGTTTGTACGAAGTTCTCTAGAAGGCATGGAATTTTTTAAGCTCGCCAAAAGAGCTCCCTTTTGCTAGCGAACTCTGAAAAACTTTCTGTCTGGTGTTTGGACGAATCGCGATATTTCATTAAACTTTTCACGACATTCTG